AAAGAAATTCAATCCGCCCCATATCAGAGTCTTTTAGAAAATAACAACACTGAACATTACACAAAAAAACAACTGTTTTTGCATTATTTTCTTTTTTAAGATACTGACAAGTAACTACAAGACATTGCAGTAGCCACCAGCTGCTAAACACCGAAAGACCTCACCCGTTACCAATTTCCTTCCGTAAAATCCCACAAAAATGTACAAAAATAACACTAATGAACAATCCCCCCCCAACAAAGTACCTCATACTGAAAACACATTGCATAACAAATCAAATTTAATGGAAGCAGAAGTTACTTGTTATGTGAATAGTAACTTTTCACCTACTTGCACAAGTTGTCATTACACCCTACCCATACAACAACAATTATCATATAACCTTGTCTATGTCAAAATCATCGGCCCTCACAGACCACCATACGCCATACGATGCATTAAATGCACAGACTGCATACATCATGTCGTTCTACACTATCCCAACCTCGAGTTACCTACAGACTCAATTCCTAAAACACCCGGCATTAACAGCCTTTTACCTTTCCGAACAAAAAACATCCGCTCTTTAAAACAATTTCATGAACACTACTCTAACTGCTTACACATAGCCATGAAATATAGCATAGATAAGAGATATCCTTGAGAAACACACTGACCAAAACACCCCTACACAAACACATTACACCGCTAGTCATCATCGCGACATCCAAGACAAAAATACCATACTCAGCGAGCTACTCAAACCCAGTACCACTTACCCTTCTGACTCGTCCCCACGAGTAGCACCGCTCCTGCTCCGTAGAAAATATAACACCTCCCCAACCACACTAATAAACATCTTTGACCAAATAGACAATTGGGAATGGATGGAGTTTTTTAACAAAATCGCTGTCAACGCTAGACAAAAACATTAAAAGAAAAAAAAAAAAAATAAAAAACTCTTCCAGCTAACACCAGCAAAATGCCCCTACCCAGAGTACTTTTCATCAGTCTACTAACTACCGTCCTTGCAACACAATCGAGATAAACGATTTCATCAAAAGTTCTATATACACAGCCTACGAAGAAACAAAAAAACTCCAACACATCAACGAAGCAGTCAGCACCTCTCTCAACGCGTACGCTTTTGACACACCCAACGGGGGGCGGGATGCCCTAGCATCGCCAGACAGTCTCCTACTCGAACATGCCGATAAGGCCCTTGAAGATGTTTTGTATATGTGCGAGAGTAATTTGACCGAACAAATGGGCGACTTATTTTATATTACCGAAAATAATTTACAATCTGAAACAAATCTTTTGCTTTTAGAAAATCTCGCGCAGATTTCATTACTAGCGCAATGAGCCCAGTATATAATTCTACACACATTAGCAGTATTTTAGCCGAAATTAACGACATTTTACATAAGTTTACTTACATATCAACCGAAGTACGTCAACTCTTGCAAAACAAACACTTTTCTTTCAATCCGCAATTTTTACTAAACGCGATAAAAACTATCAAGGCATTTACTAATTCAAAGTTGCCAGTACATATGTCAAAAATCAATATCATAACACTACAACAAATTGCAGAAGTTAACGTAGTCTACTTTCGTAAGAACATCATCGTCGAAGTAATTTTTCCCCTTGTCGCAAGCAACAGTATACAGAGTTTCAAATTATATTTACTACCAGTATTTCAGTATCTTAACAAAACTAACCAAATCGCTAAGTTCATTAGACCACAAAGTGATTACCTGACTGTGACAGAGGGAGAAACTACCTATGCCTTTGTAAGCAAGAATTTAATTGATAACGAATGTAAACGTATTTTTTCCTTCTATCTGTGCCCGCGCCCGACTATACGCAAGCCAAACAATAATTCCTGCGAGTTTAATCTGTTAACATCACAGGAAGAGTCAAATCTTGTATTTTGCCAACTTGAAATTAGCTCCGAAACTGACTACTATCTTATACTGACGTTACAAAATAATGTTTTGCTATACTCAGTGACTCTCAATACTTCCTTTGATATTAATTGTAACGGCGTATTACAACCCTTTCCTTTGAATGGTACGGGATTAATACAGATTCCCCAGCTGTGCGAACTTAGAATAAACCACCATATTTATTTAGGAGCTAATAAAAAAAACTAAAGGCGGAAAATTTTGTTATTCCGAAAATCTCTCTGATAACTACAAACAAAATAGTAATGAAAAGCCCACACACAAATAATAATCAGAACAGATACTAGCACTCGGACCGAGCGAAATTATTGCACGCATATTTAGCGTTAGGTGTAACCATTGTAATCGTTATCGCATCCATAATCGCAGTAATTTGCATACTCTGCGCATATAGAGTGTGCAGTAACAAAGACCGCGGGTTCGAAAATATACCAATGCAAGAACTGAATCCACCCTTAACTCCTGAAAAAAGAATGATCTGCAAATCTGCACAGACATTACTTGACGGAAAATATTTTAGGCTACCAATCAACTATGACACTCCTCACTCCCCACCCGTGGCCGTGCAAGTGGTCCCACTCCAAAAATCCGAAACAACAGACACTCCTCCAACTCTTCCCACTTTCTAAAATAAAAACGGTATAAAAACACTAACATACCCCCCTGTCATATCAGACACTCCATAAAACCAGCACGATGAAACGCATGGCAACTACCACACTCGGCCCGCCACGCAAGAAGGCCAATCGATCCTGGACGACGGAACAGATATTGAACAACCGGACGTTGGCAGCAACAATGTTACGACTATTTACAAGATGGGAGAACCGGGAGGCCCAGACGAGCATGCAGCATCCCGAGCTGCCGCTATTGGACGACGATGGAGGCTTGAACCACCACGAGCTGACGCAGTATATTTTGCAGGAGGCTCACCACAGACACCTGCACTTAAGATTCCTCTTCGAGGAAACCTACGGAGGAGAGGGGTTCGGACGAGCCCCTTTCAATCCATGCCGTGTGTGCGGGCAAGATACCGCACATTGGCAGGGATGTTTCTTCTGCCGAGCACGCGTCGCAGCCGTTTCAAAGGACCAGCAACTAGGCATGGAGGCCGAATGTATCCGCCCGGAGCATTTTATGCTCAGTAACGCCCCTTGTGCCAGATGTATCGGCAAGGAGTTTTTACGTAGGTTCAAGAGGAGTTTGCAGGTTCATCATTTGGAGTTGCTGTAATCCTATCCCAAGTCCTTCCTATTCTTAGAATAATTAAATAATAATAATAACAAAAAAAACACAAAAATATATAATAAGATATAAAAATATATATATATATAACAAAACACAAAAAAATACAAATATGTATGTAGAATGAAAAGACACAAAAAAAAGATAACAAAAAATGTATACTCATACAAAATAGTTGCAGTAGCGCTCGGAGAGCGCTAGTCCCTTGCTTTATCAGCAAAGGACTCCGAGGGGTGGGCATGTAACGTCAGTACCAAAGAATAAATACGTGACGAATAATGATAAGTAAATAACAGGTTGTGGTAATTAACCGAGATTCGGTAATTTAACTTCCTATTGTATCAACCCTCCCGGGAACATTTGTAAATCTATCTAGCGGGATAGATTAGTCTAAGCACGTCTCCATAATATTTCCGCGAATATTACTCACCGCATATTAACTCGGCAAAAACACAGGAAGGGACACATCAGCCTACGGCATAAAAAGGCTTGATCGAAATCCGCAATACACAGTTGACAGTTCAGCAGTTTGACAGTTCAAAGTAATTCAGTTCGCGCAGCATACGTTTCGCAAAGTACTAATATAGTTATTTTTTAAGTCTAACTATCCGGCTACTCAGAACCGGGATTATACTCTGCTAAGCATTATAAAAATTGTCTTTAAACAATAAATCCTGAATCAACCGCAAACACCTAAGACCGTTCGTAAAAACCTCTTCTGAAATCCAATCCTAATAAGGTAAGAAACTAAGTTATCTGCTTAAAACGCGCTACATATAATAAAGGCGCTATCCCTTTAACCGACCTCTGCTTAACTCCTGACTAAGATCCAACTTTTACCAACGCGACAGTATTTGTATACATTATTACGTCTAGCAGCAACATCTCCTCACCTAGACATAACATAATAAATAAAATGTTTAACTTTATAATTTTTGATGAGCGCTTCATTGTTGCATTCAATTTTGTTATTGCTCATTTATCGTTCATATGTCCCTATCTGCAAAGTATAATCAAACATATGGTAGGGGTAGGTTTATCTTGCATGAAAAAATGGTTGTCAAAAAATAATATCAAATTTAATTCTAAAATCGACTCCTTATTGATAATATTTTAATTGTGTGTTTTATGAAAAAACATTGCACGCGAAGAATTTCTTTATTACTCACTTATTGAGTCGCTTCTTTACATATTTACAGTTGGAAATTAATTCAATTATTCTTGTTTAATCGTCTGTATAATTTTCAACATAATTACATAATTATATACATTCATAAAAGGCATTTGATTCACGTGCAAAAAGGTATTGCATCAATGGGCATGCGCCGGTAGACAAAGACAGCAATACCAAATCCATCGTTTCTCTTTTTTTTATCGACCGGACGCACTCGCTTACACGAGCGCCTATGGTGTTCCTACTCTATCTATAATATTTTTATACGGCCTTCCTGAACATCTTTGTCATAGTTGTATAAACGATATAGATGTGATACGACTTTTTGAAAATGAAATTTTTTGTAGCGTCATCGGATTCTCATCACTGGGTAGCGCATGGACCAAATATCAAGAGTCTGATATTTTAGTAGTTATAATTACGGAAACATTTATATCGAGGAGATAGGTCTGCTTAGTTCTTCTGTTTATAGTCTCCATGTTTTCAGTCTACCATTGGACTGTCAATTATCAAACAATGTATAAGATTTTGAGAATTAGAGATTGTAAATTACATTTGAAACTTTAAAGAGGTCTAAGAATTAATACCCCTCACTCCGATAGATAGCGCTTTAGTAGTCGAAATGACGGTATTATTTTTGCGGGTGGGAACTGGAAACTTAGTGTATACATTGTGAGAAAATTAACAAAAATTATTATTAAATGTTTAAATGATTTAACAAATTTCATTTTTCACATACACTCATTTACGATTAATACTGTTCATGATGTCCGTGATCTTATAGTCTATCAATAATCTTTATAAATGCGTAAATATGAATTAATGTAAGTATTTATTTCTTAGTTGATTCAATTACTTTAAAAAACAAAAGAAATATGTATTTTGTTAACTTCTATATTCTTCAATACATTATTTTGTTTTATAAAAATAAGAAAATAGCTTATTACAATTTATTATCTTTTTAAAGATGACTTTGTATAGTGTTTTTAAATTTTTGAGTAAATATTGATAATTAATCATTCATGTTTGTTGTTTTGCATGTAGTTTTAAATTATTGATGCAATAACTTTAACTACTCTGACAATGTATTGTACTTTCATGTCAGTATCGTAAATGTGATAATTATTTAAAATTTATTATTATATTTACTTTAGATGACTATATATTTGAATAGTAGATGAATTAAAAAAATTATATTTTATAATATTTAATCATTTCAGAAATTTAAGTTTTCATAATGTCAGATGATGATAAACCACCTGCTCCTCCAGTGCGTTTAACATCCAATAGGTAAATAGAAAGGATTTATTTACATAATTTAGTCAAGGTATCCGATATTTAACATGTACATAAATAATTTTAAATTTTCTGAGCTACGTTTTATGGCAATCATTTACAGACACACATCGAATATCATACCAATCACTATAAGCACTCTGTAAGACATCTCCTACTATAATCAAAATAGTTTTTATAAAGTACACTGTTAAGTTTTAAAATGATAATAGTCATTTTATAATAGCGTCTATCAAAAAAGAATTGGAATATGGTATCAAGGTATATCTTCTAATGATAAAAAGTAAAGAATCTTTTTGTAAATATATTTCATCCGTGTAAAAAAATATAGAAATACTTTGTTTAGTTAAGCAAACAATGAAATTTTATTCATATGATATGGATATATCTAAATTGATAAAATCAAATTTGTTTATAGAGCTGTTAATATTCAGTCATGATAATTATCAATAACTGTATTACGCAATAGTATAATTTATTAAACTCTGATATCTAAAATGGATTCTTATCAATCAATATGATAGAGACACACACACACACATACATGCACAGACATCCCTTGAAAACTTAACATAATTTTATAATTATTAAGTATAATCACCAACATATTGTTTTCTATTTAATTATAAGTTTCAAACAGATTTTATTATTTTAATTAAGTCGAGTACTTTCGAGCAAATTATTCAAAAATTAATAGCATTGATGCTAATTTGAAAACATTATAGGTGATTTTCCAAATTTAAAAATATTGTGAGCATTGATGCCACTATAAGTGAAACTTTAATATTTGATGACAATTATTTTTCATTATAGGGTAGTTAGATTAAACATACTATTGTGAATATGTTGAATTTAGTTTACCTTTCTTAGAATTAATAGCAAATTGATATATTATATCACCAGAGTTTACTAAATACTTAATAACTTGACATATAACAGTAAGAAACAATTTATTAATGAGTATCTATCCATTGTTAAAATTATTATATTGTCAAATCAACTATCTAAAAGATTTCATAGTTTTAACTTGTTATAATTAACTTTATATTTTATGTTAATTTAAGCTAATAATTGGAACATTGTCACTTATATCTGGAGGTATAAACATGTGGATAAATTTCATGAGATTATTTTTATTGATTAGTGAGGCAACTAAAATGTAATACAATAAAATGGTAAACTTACCGAACAAAATGTTAAATTTGAAAATATCTGTCAAAAACATTTGAAATTATAAGATGCATACACAGAAAATGTTAAAGTAATTATCCTATTATCAAATTATGTTCAAATTAAACTTGTTAAAAGGAGTTCTTTGGATAAATGTATGCATTAGTGTATTGCTCTATCATTGACAAAAAATTTGGACCCCACTGTAAGCAAATGTATAAATTTTATCCAATATCAGTCCAAGAAAGTATACATAATTTGGATGAAAATTATATAAATATTGTACAAATCTTGCACAAAATTGAAAATGTACATAAAATATGTACATACTAATCCATTGTTTCCTATAACATTAAAATATTTGATAATTATTTAGTTATTAGAAGAAGTACTTTAATAGAACTTGACTTTATTGCTAAAGTAAGCTATACAAGTAACTATTTAAATTTTCAGAATGCATTATTTGATTCTTTTATAATCAGAGCGGTGATCTTCGTGTGTGACCGCTTGTACTTGTATGGTTAGTATATACAAATGTTTGACGTTTTTTTTTTTATAGTAGCCATTAATTTGAGCTACTTACAAGTTAATAGTAACTATGCAATAATAATTAGTATTTTTAAAATACTATCTGAGTGATAGAAGCTATATGGAGATCCTAAGTAATTTCGAATACGAGCATACGACTCTATACTCGTGAATATTAGTAGATTATACGAGTCCCCGCCCGCGCGCGCACACACACACATACACACACACATGCGCCCGCGTTTACGTGTGCGGTACGCTATTTTAATCAAGGGGATCGGATATCGCATTAAAAGTGTGTGGCAGCAAGAAATGACCTCGACAAAAGTTGTGGTGTCATCATGACCTTTACGTTAACCATGAAATCAATTTTTTAGATCATTAGAATCTATCAGAAGGTTACAATTAGAATTTTAAATAGGAATCTTCATTTTCAACCAGTTTTACAAATAGCTGAAAATTTTACGTTCGGATAAAGTATCATATGTGGTTCCGGGTGACCTCGCAAAGTCGTATAGAGGTAATTTTATTAATTTCAATTTGTCCACCCGAATAACTCGGTACGCGCAAAGGTTAGCAAAAAACGTTTGAAATAAAAGTTGATCATCTTAGATAGACGTCATTTTTGATGATCTTGTTTTTGACCCTATGGTTATAATTAAGGTTACATTTCGAAGTCAACTTTGGATTTATGAACAGAAACTTCTAGTTTGTACATCGTGTGTAAAGTACCACTAAAGGTCGCATCGTGGCATTGAAGGGCGTGATCCTCGGTAATAAAAGAACTGCAAAAAGTATGCGGTTCTCCTCTGGAGAACAATCGCACTCTCGACGAAAGATTTAAACAAGTTTGGATCTTAATAAAATAAGCAGCTCAGAGAACGCGTTAACCGACAGAGTTAAAGACAACCAAGACGAAGGTGTTACCAAAGAAACACCTGTCTTAGGCTCCAGTCTTAGGTGGGAACTTAGTGTGGACTGATGTGTGGAAGCGGTGTCATTGCTGCAGGATAGGGGCGCTGAAAGCCATGGACTACTTAATGAAACACCAGATGTTTTCCGTGATGGTATGCGCAAACTGGCTCTTGTGACCCTAAAGGTTGTATTTCCATCTTTGGAACGAGAAGATATGATGGAGACGAGGGTCTTGAGGCCTCGTCGCGGGCCCTCTGAGAGCGCTTAGAACGTGGGGACGGCCAATCAGATGTAACTGCAGGCGAACACCTGAGGTCAATATTTAATTTCTTATTTACTAGGAGAGTATTCCCGGGTGCTTGGAAATGTGCACAGCTGATAGCTTTGAGGAAGAAACTCCTTCGTCGGCCTCAGACTTTCGTCCGATAGCTTTGCTTTCCTTTCTGTCAAAGGTTCCTGAGAAGCTTACCTATAACCAGATCATGGAATACCTAAATAAAGAAAATTTTCTTGATCCCCTCCAGACTAGCTTTAGGCAGAATCACCATACCCAGGCAGCATGAATAAAGCTGATGGATGATATTCGGATGGTCGTTGACAAAATGATGGTAACTTTCTTGTTATTATTCTAGGGCTGACCTGCAGGGTCGCTTGCAAAAGGTTACCTCAAAGAATGATAGCTCGGACTGGCGGGAGACGAATCTGGGGGGCCCATAAACCTCAGTGCTGGGTCCACTCTTGTTTTGTTTGTATATGTCAACCATCTGAAAAATGTACTCAGGGGACATGAGATATCGCACCTCTTCTATGCGGATGACTTGCAGATTTATCGGCGTATACCTAAAAATGTATTAGCAAGATGCATTCCAATGCTAACGGAGGCGGCTGGAATGGTATTGAACTTGGCTCGGTACTCGGATCTGCACCTGAATGCCGGTAAGACCAAAGCAATAATTTTCGCAACTAAGAAAGATATAAATGACATCTGTACGGAAGAATTGCCTGGTATTGAAGTGCAGGAGGGTGTATTTGTTCCCTTCAGTGAGGAGGTAACCATTTTTAGGATCGTGCTGAATTGTAAGCTGTTTTGGAGATCGCACATTAACCAAGTCGTAGTGAAAGTCAGGGGGCTCTGTACGGCCTGCGCTTTATTAGATCGTGCATCACAAAGATGCTCTGTCGTAGATTGGTGAAGTCGATAGTCCAGCCACACCTGGACTGTTGCACTATAGTATGTCCAGGGGCCTCGGCGGAGCAGAGGGGGCGGCTGCAGAGACTGAGCAATGCATGCGTGAAATACATCTTTGGTAACTTGCATGATGTCTCGGTCTCTCCATTTAGGCTAAAGTTAAGCTGGCTTCGTGCGGACGTGCGTAGGGAATATTTTAAGTCCCTGCTCATATACATGTGCGTACTTATACGCGAACCTGGTTACCTGATAGAGCTCTTCAAGGAGCATAAATCAAGGTATCCGGGCAGGATGGGGCAGGTGGAGCTGAGAGTTGTTAAAGCGAGAATGGAAATGGCTTTCAGGCTTGGTCAGGTGATGAGTGCTTGTCTTTGAAACACCATTCCCTCGGACCTGAGACATGCGCCATCGCTCGGCAGCCTTAAAAGAAGGGCACGGGAGCACTTTGCTACATTTAGCGCGTAGGTCCGGAGAGATGCTACTGGAGCACCTTTTAAATCGTACAAATTAGTGTTCGATGACGTAAACTAGTCTAAAATGAAATTTTAACTATATTATTAGTTTCAAGCAAGACATTAAGCTAGTCTGTTGTGACAAATACCATTGATTTCCTTTCGAATATTAACAACGAAAAATAACAATAAAAAATAGTCTAATTCTAGTCTGCCTAGTCATAACTTTGTTTGTTCTATATCACCAGCTTGATGACTCAGTTTTATAGACTGGGAAAATCTCTAAGCACTTTTACGATAATTTGTGATAACTTGACCAAAAATGTATACCGAATTGACACGGTATTACTATAAAACAATGTAAATATTGTATATACTATAGATATGTACTGTATATCAAATTGTATTTCAATGTTTTGCTGTTAAAGTAAATAAAAAGGCATCAATCAATCAATCTCTCTCTCTCTCTTGCATGCTAGAGTGCTACTTCACGAAGCCTGTGACTAGCCAGTATTGCCAGTCCCGCTGGGTTTATTAATTGTTGCTACGAAGTATGGGACGTTCGATGGAGGATTGTCTGGCAATATTTATGCCAATTTCTCCCTATGCACGCGCGCTTAAATAGTTTTATAGTTTTTTATTTTGTTTAGTAGCGTCAAGCTATTTAGATTTTGGTATATGCAAGAGAAGTATAACTATAATTCTGTTCGTAGTTATATCAATGTATAAGTTTAATGAGT